CCTGCTGTTTTACTGCTATCTGAAGGAATGCTGTCAACAATTTAAAGAATTTCTTTCTCCCCCACAAAACACTGACATTTGAAGGAGGCTTGATATACAAAATTCACGGTTTGCATGCTTTGTTTTACTACTGCTTCTAAAAACGGCCCAAGCGCTTTAAAGAAAATAACCATCCAGTAAAAACAGTATTAACCATGTTAATGCTTTTTGGTATCTGGGAAAAAAAATACTCTTGGGGTCCATAATCCCACAGATCCCAAAAGTTGAGCCAAACTCAAAAGGGACTGCGTCAAAGTTTTTTGGTGTTTGGAAAATTTGCCGTTTCAGAAACTTTCCGAATGCAACATCACTAATCACCAGTCACTGCACCGTTACCGAGCAACCCCAGCGGAGCTCAGCCTGTTACCGAGCAACCCAATTGGAACTCCAGCACATTTAGTCAGCTGCTTTTATGGCTGCATGCCCTGTACAATGGCTGCTGGAAAAGACGAGAGTTTTGTTTTTGACTTACTCTCTCGACATGACTTGCTTCATTTTTGCTAGTTGTGCATGAGACTCCACTTCTGCTTTTCAAAGATGTACAGTTGTATAATTGCGCATCTACTTCCCACAATGGAGTATTAGGATCTTTGTAGACAGAAAAACAACTCAAAACAGTTAATCTCAGAAAGACGTTTCTGAGATTTAGAAGTTGGAAACATTTTGAGTTTAAAAGCAGACTACAATATCATTTTCTATGTATGATTTTGTGCCAAAAGTGTAACAAACATGTTTCATAAAGCCCATAGATCCCACCTTAACCTGATCCAGGAAGCAAAATAGGTCACCTTTAACACACCAAGTCTCCTTCAGCTGCTCCCTTTCCCTGCAGGGATCTGCTGAGTCGTAATAGAGCCACACTCACAGATGGACCTTGAACTTTTAAGAAGGGGACGTCTGGCCTCAGTAATGCCCTACTGGCAGTTCTCGCTGCCCGGCCACAAACAGTAACTCTATAGCCTCGTTGCCACGCTCCATATCCTCCCAATGACCTCAGGCCCAATTATACAGCTGACCCAGGCTTGATGACATAACCTTGGGCGTCTTTTGGGGTCTGTCGGTGCTCAGGAGGGGGACGTCGTGTCTGTCAGGACATGTCAGCACTCTGCGTTAACCAGACACTTCCTCTGAGTGGTCCCAGCGAGGAATGGTGGCTCCCATGAAAACCCTGAGCGTTTCATCACTCTGTCTAAAAAATGAAGCTCTTTTCAGTCCAAACAATATCAGAAAATACTCTTGTGTTTTCATTAAAAGAAAAAACCTTTGTATTCAAGGACATTAAAGGCAATTTTCCCCATTAAAAAAAGATAAAAATACAAGAAGCTGTTTGGCTTCTGTGCACCAACTTGGTAAATTTTCTAACCCAAATAAAGAAGAAACTTTTCTCATATGTTTGCACTTTATTTCAGAAAACATGTCCAATTTCTTGATGCAGACAGATGCATTTAGCCCATAAATCAACAATCAACCAATCAAATTTTATTTGTGTAGCACATACTATGGTACGTCTGGTGTGGCGATGAGCGATGTGAACTTTTTATCACAATATTTTGTGACACTGTTGTGATAAAAGTAACTGTTGTTTTTTAAGTAACTGTATGGCTGCTTGACACAGCAATTACATCCCCACAAAACAAATACAGCTCTTGAAAATCATCCCCATCTTTAATAAGCTTCTTTATGACCAAGAAAATCACAGAAACAACTGCAAAATCCTGCAGGAACTGATCAATGTGGGAAGATGATAAATAACATTTAATTTAAAGAAATACTCTTTGAATGCAGAGGAAAGCTATTTATTCATAATTGAACAACTTAACTAATTTTATCAATACTAAACATTCATGTGACTCAAAGTTAAAAAGAGTTTGACATTCCTGCAATGCAGCATCTTTGTTACACGATGGAACAATTTTCCAGGAGTCTTCCAGTTACAAGAGGTTCAACCCAGGACTCCCCAGGTCAGAGGTGTCCAAAGTGTGGCTCGGGGGCAATTTATGGACCTTGCAATGGTTTTGTTTGGTCCCTGACCACAAGTCAAAAATGGTAAAAATTTGGCCAACAAAATAGAAAACAACTGATGACTTAAAAAATTTAGAAATTATTTTTCATTTTTTTATGTTGTGAATCTTAATGGCATAAAGATTTTATTTAAAAAAATATGTTCATGTGGATAAAAAAAAGTAAAGTAAATTACAATTAACAAAGTTATGCATTTTTAATTTAATAAATTTTGTGACCATTTAAATAAGCCAGTTTTGGCCCCCCAGGGCAAAAGTTTTGGAATTAAACTTTACCCAATTAAATTTTTTTTGTTTTTTACCAATTTTCAGATAAATAGTTTACCCAATGACCATTTATTTACCTAATAAATGGTTTGGTGAAATGTTATTGGTAAATGGTTATTGGTAACTGGTTGGTTTACCCAACAGTTTATTGAGTAAACCAATCAATACCCATTTATTTATTGGGTATTAATTGGGTATTGGTTTCTGATAAACGTAACAAGCTTTTATTTCATATAAACACATGTATCTTAGCGTTTATATGAAATGAATGACAGGTTACATCCAGGATGCGTTACCCTGCCTCTTACCCAATGACCGATAGAGGCAAGCATTAGACTTCCCTTGACCTTACCAGGATTAAAAAAGTGGATGGATGGATGGATGGTTTTTCCTGCTGAAAGCTCTGGAGAAAGCCGTCTGTCGCTGTTGAAAATACCCATAATAGACAAAAGCTGATTTACCGTTCCATAGCCAGACAATGGTGAAGCAATTTCCATCAAGAGTTCGCCAGACGTAAAGGTTAATGGTGTGTGGCGTAAACATGTTGCTGTTTTTTGCCTGTTTAATGCCAGAGGAAGGATTTGGGGCTTAGTAAAACAACCCAGGTTTAACCCAGGAGGTTTTTTGTGACATGTTGGTTTGCTCACTTCTTACCATTGTTGCTCATTGTAGTAAGCTCAGCACTTTGGCATCTGCTGGTGAGGATCCTTTGTGACATAAATTCAGTCATGTCCGCTGGACTACAAGGGTCAAACTGCAGCCAACTGTGTGCAGGGCAAAATCTCCTACAGAATGGACATGAAATACTGCCAAATCAACGCAATAAAGAAAGAAAAGATTATTTTAAATTATACACAAACCATGTAGAAAACAAAAACATTATATAGAAAATCTTTTCCTTTTGCATGTACGTATCAGCAGATCAAATTACATATTTTGACATTTGTTCCTCAGGAATGTTCTCAAAGTTACCGTTTGTTTCTCTGTCCACCAAAACCACATTCATACATAAATGTGTTTTCAGCCAGAGGTTTAGACTGAGAGCTTTGAAGCTTTCACTACCCGAGCAATCTGTGGCAGGCGGTTACATGCTACAGGATTTATTTACCGGGCTTCACCCCCCACCAAGATCTTCTAAGTTACTGCTGTCACGCACACAAGTCTTACATCCAGAGCTGGTTACGTCTACTCAATTACATTTTTCAGTCACTTTTTTTGGAAAAGGAAAAACAAAGAAAACCTTTCAGGAGTATTTTTACTGCGTTGTACTTTTTAGTTTTACTTCAGTGACTTTATTATAATTTATTTCTACTTGAGAAAAATGTCTGGATTTTCCACCCACTGAATGAAAAATATACGTTTTAACCAAAGATTCACCATAAACACCTGCAGTTTTTATTAAAGTTTTACAAGTTTTTTTATTGACAGAAACTGATTTTGTTATTTTTTATAAATTGTCATTTTGGTCCTTAAAATGACAAAATTTCCACTTATCTTTATATTTTGGTCCGTCTGATGATGTAATTTTTAAATATTAAATGATTGGTAATTTGATTAAATTCTTCAGTGCTTGCACAGACTTTTTGAATCAAAATATGCTGAAGTAGTGGTACTTTTACTTCAGAATTATTTCGGGGTACTCTGCCCGCCTGTGGTTGCATCAATTTTGCTGACCCGGTTCTTAATAAGAGAAATTTATCTTTATTTATTCTCTGAACTGTGTGATGAAATTGGAAACCAGAACAGTTTATTGAATCTAAGCAGAATGTAATTATTTCTCCATGTTCACCAGTCAATGTATTGTTGTTGTATGTTTATTTCTTGGATTTGACTCTTTTGGCATGAGGTACATCTGCAGAACAAAACTCAAAAATGAAGCCTGCAGAAAGTATCAAAATCTGTTTATCAGTCAATATAGACAATTCATTCTTTTTGTTTAAATATCTGAAATACTGCCAAATATGTGGAGTGACCTTTATGGATTAGCCATAATTTCCTCTTGAACTGCTTAACTCATTTTCTCCTTTCACTAAAAGTCTCCGATTTTATTGTAGCCACCTGTATTTTGCCACAAATAGCTTATTTTAGCCACCTGTATTTTGCTACAGCTAGCTTATTTTAGCCACTTGTATTTTGCTACAGCTAGCTTATTTTAGCCACCTGTATTTTGCCACAACTAGCTTATTTTAGCCACCTGTAGTTTGCTACAGCTAGCTTATTTTAGCCACCTGTATTTTGCTACAGCTAGCTTATTTTAGCCACTTGTATTTTGCTACAGCTAGCTTATTTTAGCCACCTGTATTTTGCCACAGCTAGCTTATTTTAGCCACTTGTATTTTGCCACAGCTAGCTTGTTTTAGCCACCCATATTTTGCTACAGCTAGCTTAATTTAGCCACCTGTATTTTGCCACAGCTGGTTTATAATAGCCACATGTATTCATCTACTACTTTATTTTATCTATCATATATATTTTGCTAGAGTTAGCTCATTTCAGCCACCCGTATTTTGCTACAGCTAGCTTAATTTAGCCACCCATATTTTGCTATAGCTAGCTTAATTTAGCCACATGTATTCTGCCACAGCTAGCTCACAAAATTGTGCTGGTGTTGAAAGAACCAGTTCTAAGCTTAATTTAATTTTAAATAGTAAAAAAAGACACAAGACACACCTATTTCTTAAAATAAGATTTTTAATATTACTTATTATCATAAAGATATATTTACACACTTTACAGAAATAGAAAATAAAAACACAAAGCTACGCATGAAAGGAAAAAATAAAATAAAATAAGTACTCCAAGAGCTAAAGCTTATCTTTTATAAATTAGAAACCAAAAGTTCAAATATGTACACAGTATTCAACCATTTCTGATACACTTGTTTTATTTATTTATTCATGTCATTTATTTTTGCCCAGTTCAACATCAAAACAGAGACAGGGACTGTACATTTGGCCTGGTGAGTAATATGAGCACACACCATGAACAGAATATAAGTTTAAGGAGTAATACATTGTCTTTCAAACGGTATCTGCTTGAGATCTAGTAACACTGTTGTGATAAACCTACAGACTGCATTTCTCCTACGATTGTTCTGAATGTGACTGACTGCTCCCGGACACAGCCGATGGAGAATGTGTCGCCATCGAGGCAGGAGGGGCCTGTGCTATTCTGGGTGTAGGAAGTCTCATTTTGAGGCTTCGAGATAATGACTGATCATCGGCTTTCCTCATGGGACTTGGAATCTAGTTATCCTTTGGATTGCCCAGCCAGTGGAAAAAAAAAAAGAGTCTCTATTTGTTGGATTAAATATCAGCCACTCGACCCTGCAGACACCCACTTTGAAGGCCAACATGATACAGTTTGACGGGATAAAGGATTCAGAGGGGAAAATTATGGAATGTGTGGCGTGGTAGCTCTGCTTCCATTTCTGCAGTCAGTGATGGATATAAAAACAATTTCAGTACAAGAAGAGTTAAAAAAGAAACAAAAAATATATATATTTTTGACTTTTTAGGGGCCGTAACTACCTCAGTGACTAAGCTGACGTTTAAAACCTGCTTTCTATTCATTTCTTATCTCCACCTGCGACACATATCTACATCTCATCCTTACACACTCCCTGCCAAATGCATTTGGACAAAAATAAACATAAAGAATAAGGGGTTTTCTACCAGGAACACATGCTAACAAGTGCATAGAAAACATTACTCAGGCCTTGTGATGGTCACAGAGAGGGGGGAACATTGAGAGGATAGGAATAGTTTCTCTTGTGTAAGCCTTGCTGGAAAAGACCATTAAGGAAAATGGTTTTTGCTCCCCGAGCATAATGTATTGGTTTAGCCTTTCAGTTTAGCCTGGACATGCTTGTCCTTCCATTAAACCTCATGTGCAGGGGAGGGCGGTGAGCTATGATCTACGAGAAAAGAACGCCTGAAAGCTTTCACGTGTCCACGACAAATTGTGCTGCAGACTACTTCTCTATTTTGTTACATCCACAAAAGATACAGCTTGTCACACTGTATTGAAAAAAGTAAGCTTTGGACAACCAGCGAGACAAGAATCAGATGAAAAGAAATTGTCACAACACACTGGAAAACCATTCCATAGCGAGAGACTCTTGTTTTCAGGGTGTATTTTTTCCAGCAGCATCATGGAATTGCAAAAAGTGCAGCCTTGCAAACCCATACAGAGAAGTCTTTGAGCAAAGCCACGTCTATTTGTTGGGACTATTTGACGCCAGAAGCTTTGGATCTGTGGGACATTTTGATGATGAGATTAAAAAGGGGCTTCCTTACATAAACATCGGTTTGCTCCTGTCTCTGCGAGGGCAGCATGGCTGGTGCAGATGGTGAGGATACATTCATGAAGAACAGTGCGGATACAGACGTTGCTCGGCTCAGTAACAATAACTTCTGAGGCGGGGAGGGAGAGAAGAGGGATATTGACTCGAGCCCCTTTGCCTTCCCAACTCCTGCGGCTTTGAACCTTCGTCCCCAGCTCATTTACTTCCTGTATTCTTCCCTCCAAAAACACACGAGACCTCCTGAGCAAAGCCGTCACGAAATCTACATCTCTGTCTGTGAGGGTATAAAAAAATGATGGCAAAACTGAAATTATTACACTTCACAGTGCCCTAGGATTTAATGCATTTTTAATCAAGGTAAGCTTGGCTGGGATACCACTGTGCTTTTAGATGCTCTCTTAATAAAAGCTTCTCATGCTGGGGCTGAGAAGATTCTGCGTTTTTTATTTTTAATATTTGCATGAGACATGGCGAGAGGGAAAAGTGCTGGAAATCTAATGCGTCTTTATAAAATGTCCACACCCCTGTTAGCATGCTGGGTTTTTGTAAAGTAATTTATACTTTAAAAATTGTTCCACCTTTATTGTGAAAGGTATATTCTGTACAATTTTATTTTAAAAACAAAGAAACCTGTTTGGAGAGCGTGATTTGTTTTCAGCATTTGCCGTATTTGAGTTCATATTTGGAAAACAATTTAATCTGATAAACTTGAAATGAATATTTCGGATTTTTCCAGTAGTTTCTCATTTAAATTGCTGACATCATTGTTTTGCAGAGAGTTTACAAAATATCTTTGTACAACAGTTTCAGTTAAGAGAAGTGAAGATCATTACAACATGATTATCAATAATTGGACAAAATATGGGACAACCTTGCTGCGTGCAAAACTTCGTTGGTATTCTGCTAATTTTTTTTTATTTTGCGGTGTTTCCATTTAAAAAGATTTCAGCATCTGGTTGGGCTTTCTGGTGCTGTTCTTCAGTGGCTCAGCTCCCATCTCACAGATAGCACTATTATGGTGAGTATGGATATGTGTTCTTCAATGCTAACCACGGTGTCCCCCAAGGCTCCATTCTAGGTCCCATACTTGTTAATTTATACATATTTGCTGCGCGGTGGATTCATCAGGAATCGGCTTCCATGGTTATGCTGATGACACTCAGATATTCATGTTGTCTCGTGAAGATTAAGTAAGAAACGTGATTAAAATCACACCTGAATTAGTTTATTAATCATCATCCAACTACTTCCTGGTTTTTGCTTTGTCATTTCTGCCAGTAGTAACTTTGGATACAGTGTAGAGCTGATCTGTTGATTATTTTTGGATGACCTACTTAATAATTAGATAGCAAAATATGCTTAGTATATATGTTTTTTTTTTGTTAGGTGCAACAAAATCCCACCTTAGGCGTTTTGGGCAGGACATATTTACAGACAAATGTATATTTTTTTCCCCCCTTTTAATGTAAAACGTCAATATTTTTTGTAGTTTTGGCTTAATTTCTACTGTTATTTTTACTTTTTATTGATTCTGTAAACCCAAGCTAATTGACTAGTAAATTAGTTGACAGTTATTTAAATAACTTATTAACGATTAATCATTTCACTCCTAACAAATTCGTTTTTCATTCTTAATTGTGCAGGATATTTATCACAGTAAAGGTGGAAAACCAGGCAGTGCAGCAGAGTTGCGCACACCCACTGTAGATTAATTAGATTAGGCTCTTGAAACTGATTTAACTAACTAAGTTAGAGTTCTGCATGTCCAACACACAACAAAGATTATCGAGTTCCCAATAAGCGATATGATTACAGCCTGAATCTGCAGGGGGACTGAAGTTAAAATGAGCTCTGACTAAATGTGGATATCTATGAAAGATTAAGTTTAGGATTTAATGGGCATGACGATCAAATCCGCGACCACCTCTGCAGCGGACGGGCTGATTAGAAAGGCAACTGCACCCAACATGACGCAGGGAGCTCAAGAAAAGAAGTGGATAACTCTCCAATAACATAGTGATTAAACTAGAGTATACATACAAGGAGAGTAAAGGTAGACTATATGAAAATATGCTCATATGAGTTTGTATGTTTATCTTGAGTAAATGCACATAACAGCCTGCTAAAGTACAAGCCTCTATCACAGCACCCTGAGAAAAAAGGAAATAAAACTAAAACACAGAAAAAAATAGAAATGTATTCCAGTAAGATGGAAAGGCATAGCTTTTTCTGTTCGTATGCTGAATATTAAACTAGAGCACTAGTGGTAGGCTGATCGCGGCGGTGGGTTAACAAAGAGCTGAGCTTAAAATGAACAAAACAAAGAGAAAGCATAAACGTGTCAGTGTATCGAGACTTCAAACGAGGTAATGCGTTTCTCGTTTCTCTCTGACTTTTTCGTTCCTCCGTTCCTGGCAGCATTGTGGAGAAGGTTGTTATTTGGCACTTCCTTAAGGGGCGAGGCGGCCCGTCGGTCGGAGCGGGCCGCCAGCGCCGGGTAACAGTCGTGAAGAGCAGCTGCTTGGGGGCAGCGGTGTGGCGAGAAGGCTGGGGGTCAGGGGACGAGGGGTAAGAGGACTCCTTCAAGGTGGGTTAGGGGTTACCTTGAGCCTGAAAGCCGCTCCATTCCCCCTCGAGGTGTTAATGAACTCAGAAACACCCAAACAGCTTCGGGATGAGCGAGGGAACGCAAAGTTGTCCTGACGGCATGTGCTCTTGTTTTAGTTTACTTTGCATGTGGACAAACTGACATTAAAAGATACTAAGCACCATTAATAATCGTAATTAAGTGATGATTATAACTCCTTTCAACACTAAATCTTCAGCTCCAGAGTATCACAACGAAAATTAAGTTACTTCCTCTGCACGATCAGACCCGCTCATCTGCTCGTTTAAGTAGCTACACAGCGATGAAATCAGCGACTGATGGGACTTTGGATCTGAGACATGCGAAAACCACGTCCTGGAGGAGTGACAGAAGCTTTAAGACTCTTTTGACGGGGCTCCCTCTCCACCACATGTCATGCAAAGAGTGTGAGACACTCGGAAAGATTGCTATGATTGGCCTCTATTAAGCAAATTGAAAAAAAAAGACAGAGATATATCAGTAAGGAGGGAGTAAGATAAAGAGACAGAGAAATAGAGTCTGGTAGCTCAGGCTCAATACCTCCCACCCCCTTTTCAACGCCCCCCTAATCCCCCTGGAGCCGAGGGTGAGCGGCTTGTCCTGATTTTTAGGTGGACAGAGTTGCTTGGAGAACCAGCAGGTGCTATGGACATCACTCTTCAGGCTGGGCAAGCGTAGGCCCTTCATTGCAAGGCCCCCCAAGGCGAAGGAAGAGCATAGAAATCAGAACCTGGGGGAGGGCGCTCAAGGCAGTGCCTGCAACGAAAAGAGAAAGGAAAATACGTTTGTTTTAAGAGCTTTCAATGGTGACCCATTATGCTTCCTTGAACGAGTTTGGATGGGTGTATGGGAGATTAAAAAATACATGTTTTCTCAAAATCATTCTTGAATAATGCGATTTTAACTCTTTGGAAAAGATGTCATCAAGTTCAGGTTTATTTGTTCAGCACATTCCAGCTGCAAGGCAGTTCAAAATTACAAAGTTATGAAGAAAACACCAGTTTAATAAATGTTACGATTTGATGTGAGCCATCACCAAAATCATACAAATGAAATATGGTGGTCGATGTTTCATTTATTATGGTTCAAAAGCAAATTTTAACTTGTGGGTTTTTTCTAGATTTAACTCTGTGTTTCAGCTTCTATGGTGTACCTTTTACTTTGATAATTTTATCATGAAATATCGCTACTCTTGAGTAAAATTTCTGGACATACGACCCAGTGTGAGTAACTTCAGTGGCTACAAACACTAAAGTTACTCACATTTATACAACCGTACAAAAATAAAACCTTTAGCACAAGCAACAAGATCGCAGCGGTGGTTTCTAGGTGGTAAGCCAGCAGCTAAACTCTTGTCTTTTCCAGCAGCATTCGGCGGTTAAACCAGCTGACCAAATGTTCTGGAGCTCGGCTTTGGTTGCTAGGTAATGATTGGGGCTCCACTGGGGTTGCTAGGAAACGGGCTGGGCTTCTGATTTGAAACTCTGGAGGTTTCTGGGTTATAGACACAGAAAAACATGAACCTCCATATCTTCATGTATCTCAGATTCAGAGACATGTATCTGCCGTTGTTACCGTGTTGGTGAATGTAATGAAAGCGTGTCTACTTTCCTCTCTGGTTATTATTATCAGAGACGACAGATAACGGAGAATGCAGCTACCAGACTACGTAAGATCATTAGCTATGTGTATGTTCGAAGACATTCAATATCCTCTTATAAAAGTCTGAATATTTGTGGGTTTCTGCCAAAGCATCGTCCGTGTTATTTCTGACGTTATCTTGCACATCTAGAAGACTACCTTAGACATGTTCCGACCAGATTTCACAGTCTTTGATTGAAAATTGCAGCAGGGAGTAAGAAAAACAATTGCATATCGTGCTGTGAAACACAAGCCAGCCGCTATGATAGACTCTGGAGGGAGGATCATAACCAGAAAACACAAATCTTCTATGTTCTGTTGTGTTTTATCTCCTCCTCTCCTTTGGATGATTCTTTCGCTGATAACAGCATTGTGTTCTTTCAGTTCAACATTTTTGTTGACATGCAATGCACATAAACGAATCAATAGCATATCTCTACCCAGCCATGTTGTCATTTGTTGCTCTTTGTGCTTTTAGATCAATGATGGATAGAGGCTTGCTACATCATAAGGTGAGCGTTTGGAAAGAGACGCAGACCTGCTCCCTTTGTTTTGATGGGAAACTCCTTGAAAGAGTCACTTAAGAGTTTTCTCACGCTAGGGGCCACTGGGGGTTTTCACAAATTGCCTCTGGCTTTAAGTCTTTAATATCCTGTTGTCTCATATACTATCAGTGGCATGTCTTAAGAGCCAAAAGTTGGTTTAATCCAACTCTACTTGGATGCTTAAAGGAGCTGACCGGGGTCGCAGTATTTCTTCTTGGAGCTGCTCACATCTGGAAAGTGTAATGGTGAAAAATCTGACACTGCCTCAGGTGTCATACAGAATAAAAGATGAGCTGTCTTTGAATCCAAAATGGGGTGATGCTGCTAAATGGCACAAGGTTGAAGGATGGACAACGTCCGGGGAATCATTGTTTTTTATCTTCGTGTAAACAGTGTTGTAATTATGTTTAGGTCAGTGACGGCTCAGCTCCGTCTCTATCCGCTGAAGTTGCTTTGATCAAACGAAATGCATCCGCGGCAGATCCCAGGGGCGGTTCTTTTCCCACCGTCGGCTCAAATCGAAGAAGAAAAGAGGGAAAGCATGAGGAAGACCAGAGCCTTTCAGGCTGATGCTGCAGAAAGGGAGGCAAATTGATGCTAGCTGTCTGGCCGGGTGAAGACTTTATATTCTCAGCTTGCAGCTTCTACAAACCAGACATTTCATGCCATGAGTCCATCTAAATTAACGTATTTGGAGCAATAAATGTTAGATGACCATTATTATTGATAAGTATCACTAGTGGCACGCGTTCACTATTGTGCTAATTGTAGAGCTAATTTTCTTTAGTGGTTTGATGGGGCTAAACCGCTAAACAAAAGCAGCTAAGCTGCTACTAAGTAGGTAGTAAACCTCATACTTTAGTAGGTTTAAGACACCTATTGAAAGGTTTAGTTGGGCTAAAATGATATGACTGAAAAACGTATCGCAATAGAAGAGCCTCATATCACGCAATGTCAGTAATTATTGATTATATTTCTGTTTCAAATATCTTAAGTACTGCTAAAGAGGTGGCAAACATTTCCTCTTATTGACATCTTTTATGGTATCGTTTATTAAATAGAAGAACTATATATTGTTCTATATTGTTTTATTTATGGAAATCGGTGTACAACCAAAAGCACAAACAAAAAAAATAGGAATAAGAAATATCACTGGTACTTTTAGCATTATTTTATTGTGAAAAATGCAATGCAACTGAAATTTTCCTGTTAAAATGACTAAAATCTGCATTTGTTGACATTTTTATTTTGAAACCTTTGCTAGTTTACTATAATTTCTAGCTAAAATGAAGAAGACGTCATTGTGGAAGGTCTAAAAGTTGTGAACTAGGACAAAACGAGGCCTTTTTGCACAAATTTGGACCAACAATGTTTTATTTGTAAAGCTGTTTGTAAAGTTATAAAATATCTCAAAAAGTAAGTTTTGTACAAAGATCTGTTTGTTGGTGCACCATCTGATTCCAACACAAAGCAGAAATCAGCTTCCTCACAAGTCAGGTGAGCCAAGAATAAAGAGCCGAGCCAGTGGAGTCAACAACAACAAAACTCTCCAGCGTATTTGTGGTTGAAGTGCTGTTTGCAGAGACAGCATTGTGACTCACTGAGCCGTTCAGTTTTAGAGCTTCGCAGCTTTCTGGAGTTCCCGTTTATTATGTGCTCAGCATTCTGGCACCGAGTCGAACTCCAAACACTCAGCGCTCTGAAAGGATCCTCACTTCTCATTGGCAGAGGCAGCCCTTCAAGTGCTACTACCCTGCTTTCGCCTTCATTGTTTTCATCTTTGTTATGAGTCCCTGGAGTCTCGTCTCTAAAGCCAGAGTGATTTCAAAAGCGTCTTAAGAAACTACGGTAACAATTGATTATTCATAATTTGTTATAGATTGTAAAACACCTCTGGGTGCTTTGCTTTGATCCTCTTTTTTCAAACTGATTAACAGCCTTTGGGTTGCAGACTCCTCTCACTAGTTTAATTTATGTAGGACCTCTGCAGGTCAGTGTTGAGCGGTCGGCACCTCCTGCAGGGATATTGAGTCTCGTCAGGTCCAGTATTGTCTGAAAGAGACGTGTGGACATGCTGCTGTTGGCTTTCACAGTGACATTAGAGGTCTGAACCTAAGACTCTGTGGATTTCTATCAAGTATTTCAGTTTCACAGTGAAGCTTGAGACATTCCTAATTTATTTATGTTGATTACTAAACAATAAAGTTATGAGGGAGATTTCACACAAAAATGTACTTTTAGTTGACATCGAATTAAAATTTCTTCCAAGAACCTGGATACTTATTTCTTCAAAACGATTATCTTTGCAGAAAAATACTTTTATTTACTTAATCAGTTCTAGAGTGAAGATTTTTCCCTGCCAAGCGGCCCTGGAGGTAAGATTTACTAGAATAACTGAGATTGAAATAAGCTGCAGTTGTTCTGGGCAGATGTTCAAGCTGGTTGGTTTGGTCCAGTAGTGAAGCCTGGATCCAATAATAACATCCCGCAGAAGAGGTTTATCTGAGTTTTCATCAAATGCATCAGACCTGATTCTGCTGACTGAGTGTTTCAGCACTTTAAGTCATATTGTTTTCACAGTTCCCTGTTGTAAGTTGTTTTCTGACCAATGTAGTCAGCACTTATGTTTTAATATTTCTGGAAGTGTTTCCTCTGGAGAAATATCTCAGACTTTACAGAAGACGGGTCTTCTGGGTAAACACAGCAGCAGCAGCAGGCATGTTGTGTTTTTAAAAGACTCCACAGAGGGTAAAAAATGTCTTTTTCTTCTATGCTGCTCTATTTTATTTACTTTTTATTGGTGGCAGCCTGTCCAGGGCGAACCCGCCTCTCGCCTGGAACGTCAGCTGGAGATCGGCACCAGAACCTCCCGACCCGACTGGGACAAAATGGATGGACGGTGGAGAAAGTTTGGGCAGGATGACGTTTTGAATCTATTTGATTCAAATCTTTTCAATTTACAATGATTAAAACGTTTATTGCAATCATCAAGCAGAGGTGAAAACTCAAATATTATACTAAAGGAAGAGCAGCAGTACTTTAACTTATTTTTATTAAAGTAAAAATAAAAAAAAGTATTTGGTAAATTGTGACATAAAGAGGAAATTTAGGTTTTTTAAAGATGAAAATAAAAATTATTTATTAAAAATGATTACATTAAATCAGACAAAAACAAAATTTTTCCAAATCCGTTTCATTCAGTTTGTGTCTGGAGAATCTTTTGGTTGTTCTTAATTCAGTAGGTTACTCACAGTAAGAGTAGCGATTCAAATTACGCAAGTAAAAATACTCCTAAATGTACATTATTCAAAAGATAATTGAGTAAATGTAACTAGTTACTCTGCAGTTGAGTAAATTGCCATTCAAATGATTTTGCTTTTTACATCTAATTAACTTGATGTGTTGTTTATCTAACATTACGACTGAATCACTAGCATCTGTGATGGTTACAATAAGTCGTTACATTTATTCTGATTTTGAATTCAAATTCATTTAACATGATTGGTCCGCTTCAATAGGAGTACACCAGTGTCATTTTACATGATACATTGTTTAAAATAACATTGGAGGTTATTAAAAAATATGGCCAAACATATTATGTTGCATAACTACGGTGGCCCTGAGGTGCAAAACACAACAACATTAACGAAAACACAACAACATTAACGAAAACACAACAACATTAACAAAAACACAACAACATTAACAAAAACACAACAACATTAACGAAAACACAACAACATTAACAAAAACACAACAACATTAACAAAAACACAACAACATTAACAAAAACACAACAACATTAACAAAAACAACACAACATTAACGAAAACACAACAACATTAACAAAAACACAACAACATTAACAAAAACACAACAACATTAACAAAAACACAACAACATTAACGAAAACACAACAACATTAACAAAAACACAACAACATTAACAAAAACACAACAACATTAACGAAACACAACAACATTAACAAAAACAACAACATTAACAAAAACACAACATTAACGAAAGCACTACAACATTAACGAAAACACAACGGAAGAGGTAGGTCCCAGTGGGAGACCTAAGAAGTCGCTGATTGGACGACAGGTCGTTTCTCTTTTGAACCGGAAGTTATGCTTGAGTGCTTCTTTTGAATGAGAACCCAAGGAAGCGGGAATACAGTCAATTCGTCATGTATTGCCCGAACTGTGGAAAGGAGGTGGTTGAGCCGTCACCAAATTTCTGCAGTAATTGTGGCAAAAGGCTTGAAGAAACTTGTATGGAGGATACTCCACAATGTTCAAGTAAGTTAAAAAGCATAAAGGAAGATTCATATTTCTTATGGATGTAGTAACTTGCTAACGCTAGTGGTCTCCAGACCGTGTCCACTGTCATTTAGTTGTTCATTATAAATGCAATTAAAAGTACACAAAGTCGCTATAATACAGCAGAATTGTATTAGCTATATATCGTAAGGTCCGTCACAGCCTTAGGCACTACTTTTTTAGGATAATTGTGTCGTTCTGGTTCTGCTGCACTGCGATCAGGCTAGCCCGCCTTTCGGAAGCGAACTCGCACTTAATTTATACTTGTGGCAGCTTTACTTCAGTTCGTAATACATATCGTCTGTTTGCATGAATGTGATGTGCGACATTTTTTCTTTGCTTTACTTCTAGCACAACAGACTGTCCCATCCTGCCCTACACCAGCCCTCAGCACCTTCCTTGAATACAGAAAAAAGAAAAATGAGGAGCGACAAAAATATTCTCTTGGGAAAAAGGGGTTAAAACAAAAGGACAAAAAGAAAGTTAGGGTAGGTCCGGTATGGCTCCAACCAAAACAAGCAGCTTTTAACTAATGGACTTGCTTAAAGAAAGTTCTGCATAGCACAGCTATACAGAATAATTGTTTAACAGTAACAGCAAACTGTCAATTCATGATCAGTCAAAACAGTAAATCATCTATTGATTAATTACTGAGTAATAGTTGTCAAAGCATTGTTCTGTTTGTATCCAAATCTGTAGTTCAAAAGTAAAAGCTTGAAATGACTGATATGAATAGCTAATGGATCTGTTTGCATGTTATTGTAATATAAGCCAGGAGGAATTAAAAACAACACATTTTTTTTTACTATTCTTTAAAAAAGAAAAAAAACATTGCTCAATCTTCCACATAATTTTTTGTTTCAGATAAATATTGGATTGATGACCATTCTGAACAATTGTCTAAAGCCACGGCGTGGAAAAACCATTTCGGTTGCAACAAACCCAGAAGTCTCTGCCACACCTCTCCTCAGTCTTGCTATTAAAAAAATGAAGGACTTCAACAAAGATGTCAAAGATGGACCTTTCCTCCTTCTGTACCCAGATGGGACAGAGGTTATTAATATCCCTGGGACACAAACACCTTTTACCCTTGCAGCTTACAAGGCTGAAGTTGGCAAGACATATCAAAGGATATGTCTTTTCCTCTGCTTGAAAAGAGACTTTGAAGAAGGTAAGCTCAGATGTCTGCGCTTACATTGGCACATTGCAATAACTGCAATAAATCTAAATCTTAAAGCTGTGCAATTAAGCATTAGTGGCATGAATCAATAAAGTAATAGGTGTACATAGATTGGCTCTGACATGTGAAGTTACTTTCTGGACACTTGATAGGTACATTCAGTTTTTTGTTTTTACCAGTGCTATGTTTGTCCTTTCTGATACAATGTAATGTAGTTGACCGAATACAGTACTATCACTTAGTAGAAGTTAAGTTGGTTTGTTTTTTTCCCCTTGTTTTGCAGTTGGAAAATTGTCAGACTTGTCCGATTCTGACCCAGAGATTGTTATTAGAAAATCCTCCGACTTTGATCTTGCTGATACACTGGTAAGTCCAACTTCAAATGTATTTGGTCTGCCATTTTTATTTGGTTGAGTGATCACAACAAGCGCATTTTACCTAAGCTTCATTGGACTATGAAGATGTTAAATTGTGTTTCATTTTCTTCAGCCATGGGAACCTATGGATGAGAGCAGTCGTTTACAACAGGTGGCAGAAACACAGTAAGTTATATTTTAGGGACATATCATAGCATGATGTGTGTACATGTATCAATAGTATTATAACCTTCATTGCATTTCATATAGTATGGATTGGTGACATGTTGAATGTGGATATTTGTAAATTATGTGGTTATGGGAACATGTCCAATGAAGTTTTTTTTTTTTTTTTTTTCAAGATGCTTGTTTTTAAATGTTGAATATACTGGATTGGAAATAATTATTAGACCACCCTTGCTTTCTTCATATGACTTCATATGTTCAAATTACCCATTAATATGTTTTTCATTGTCCTTTAAGTAATGGTGTTGGGGATCTTGCACTTGCAAATGAAGTAAAACAGGTACAACTTTTTATTATGTCACACCACAATCCACAGATTTTTATCTCAAACCTTTTAGTAAAATATTTTGATAATTAAAATAACTGTAGAATAGTCAATTATTAAGTTTCATTTTACTCTTTTCTCTGTTTTCAGGTTATGGATTTGGATGACAACAGCAACAATCCAAGCACCAGTGAATGTGTCCCTGTCCAGAGCTCCTGTTACAGGTGTGTAATGGCTTCTGTCATAAAGAAGAAGGGTGTGTGTTGTGTCATCATGACAAGGTGATACTGATAGATCTATTGTGTCATCTAAAGTGCATTTATTTACTTCGAATGTTGTAAATATAACTTCTGACATAAATGGAATGTTTTGTGAAGGACAGTTGGAAGTTCCCCCCCCTCCATCTATATTGTGTGCACGTTTTTGCTCCACAGAGACTACACCAATCTCTTTGAGCCCATTGTTATTGATGATGATGATGATGATAATGATGGGATTGAATATTTAACCGAAGACAAAAAGCAAGACCTGCCCCCAGAAGAACATGCGTTAGTAATTTTAATATTTTGTATTTAATTAACCAGCATCCTGCTCATGCATAATTACATAATGCTAAGTGTGATCAGTCAACTGCTTTAAAATATTTTTTTTTCTAGAGAAACAAATGTGCAGCCACATGATATTATTGCAGAACTGGCCATGGGTATTGACCACAAGAAAGTCAGCCGGTTCAATATATGTCGGACTGATGTGTGGGATGGAGCTGTTCGGGGCTTTCAGAGGAGCACATACTCCGACAAGAATGACATGTTCATCAAATTTAACGATGATGCTGGCTGGTTGGAGGAAGGGTTGGACACAGGTGGCCCGAGGCGTGAGTTTCTCACGCTTCTCATGGCCATTCTGAGAAATCGCCCGATCTTTGATGGACCCCCAGAAAGTCGTTACATTGTGTGCAATTCGAGAGGTGAGACATTTTTTTGGGTTTGTGAAGTGGTAGTACTTCTAAAATCAAAATTTGCTGAAAAATCAGCTTATGTTTTTGTCATAAGCAGATCTAAGATTTAATTACCCACAGTAATTCTGTGCTCTGTACAACAGCTGCCAGGGAAGATGAGTATTTTTTAGCAGGAAAGATGATTGCCGTATGTATTGTACATGGGGGACCAGCACCACATTTTCTCTCAAAGAACCTGGTCAACTACATGATAGGGAATCCAAGTTTCAGCGCCACTGTTGAAGATGTTAAAGATGAGGAGATAGGGAAAGTTCTGAAACAGGTAGGAAATTACCTAGGCATAGGGAATAGATTTATTGTATGCCAACTGGAGATTATTTTCATTTTATTATTATTATTTTCAGATTGAGATTACAAAATGATTATGACAAAGTACCAAGTTTGTTTTATCAAAGCCTGACAAATGTTTTTGCTGTGAAAGGCCCGATTTCAGCCTGTCTCAACAGATGTTACATTACAAACACACAAAATGTTAATGCTATGTTTTTATTCATAACAAAGATGTTTTTAAATTTATAGTTCTGTACTTCTTCTGGAATACTGCTTGTTTTGTAGGTCCTGGAAGCTGATTCAGATGAATCTCTGCTAAATGTAATTTTGCAAAACAGTGGGATGTTCCAAACTGCTGGATGCTTCAGAGGGGTGAAGGCTTCTGAGAAGAAAGCTTTTGTAGAGGAGTATCTCAGATGGTACATCCTTGACAGAAACCACAGTGCCATTCAACGGTAATCAATAAATAGTTATAAATAATTAAAAACTATTCTGAAGTTCTATGCTCAGTACTCAAGATCATTGAGTGTTGATCTAGAGTATCAATGTTCAATGTCAATACTGTGAACAACTGCCACTGACATGACACTAATTAACTAAGAAAAACTAATTAGGTATAAAAAATTGGGATCAGATTAGAGATATGACATTAGTAGATCAGACATCAAATTTAACCAGCTTCCTTCCTTAATTGTTTTGTTTTTAATCTGTCGTAGGTAACACATCTTTTTGTGTTTTTCTGAAAAATTGTGTGAAATATTAGAATATACAGAGCAATACTTGCCAAATTCTGAGTTTCACCACTTCTATCATCCATTCGGAATTTTATGTGCAACAGGTTTTGAATCGTTGTTCACCATTACACAGATTAATCATAGGCATGGCACATGAAAAATATTTCAATGTGACTTATAAAAATATACTGTTGCATGACAATTTCGTTTTTTGCACAATGAAAACATTTTTTAAGTTTCAATTTTATATTTTACTTTTAATGATAACTTTTGAGCACTGTGGAAAATTAGCTTTACTTTTTATTTTTGTTTATCTTTTTGACTTTATATATACTCTATCAATACAGTACATTGCTTATCGTTAACAGATTCAAAGATGGACTGGCAAGTCTTGGTTTTTTGCTGCACTGCAGCAGCATTCCAGTGTCCTGTCCCCAGTCCTATGTTTCTCTGCCAAGGCTCTGACTGCTTCAGACTTGGAGACCATGTTCCAACCAGATCTCAGCCCTGTAGGAAGCAACAGGCGGCAAAAGGAGGGCAAAACAATTGTCTTCTGGGCAGATTATTTGCTTGATTGCGAAGGTTAGTAAGAACAAATTGTGTTATTCTAAAATTGTTTGTTTTATTGGAAAACAAAAATAAAAAGAAATAATTTGTACAAGGCATTATCTATTAACTACATTGTTTATCATCTTTCAGAGAAAACAACTGCTGTATCTCTAGAGGAAGTCCTGATGTTTGCAACAGGTCTCACAACGATTCCACCAGCAGGCATGATGCCATCCCCACATCTTGAGTTTTTGAGTGATTCACCCTTTCCTATTGCAAACACCTGTGCAAACACACTTAAACTGCCACTTTTGGAATCTTACGCTGATTTTAGAGCTAACATGGACTTTGGAATACAAAATGCTCCGGGATTTGGATGTTACTAAAATTGAAAAACATGGTTTCTTGGTTAAATGTGTTTCCAAAAAATAGTTGTTTTGCAAAACCTTTTTCTTGTTATGTTCTTTCTCGCAACTTTTAGCAAGTTAAAACAAATACTCAAAACTGTTAATTAAGAGTGTAATGTCAGATTTTATCTTCATAGTTCAAACTAAATGCACAATTTTGTGTATTAAAAAAAGTTTAATTCCGAATAACAATGAAGTTTTCACTTTATATCAACAAAATGAACAGGAGACAAAATATAAGATTTGATGTTGCTTGTTTGTGTTCACAGCCTCGCAATGTTTTGAGCAATAAATACAATTCCATTGCTGACTCCCAGTCTTGTGACTGCTGTTGTCCATGTTGTTGCATGGCTTCCTGTAGGTATTCCTCGATGTCTTTATCACCACACAACTCTGTCACCTGACTTGCTTCTGGGAAAACATCCAGATCGCTGTCCTCAACAGGAAATCCACAATCTCTTGATCCATATCTGCAAAGTCAGAATATAATTAATAATAGAATTGTGACAGCTGTTTTCTCTATTTAGTACAAATACTTGGAATCGTCTTTTTTTTTTGCTGGCTATAGTGAGCACTATCAGTGACAGCTTATACAGTGTATCACAAAAGCAAATACACCCTTCACATATAAGCTGTACTCACACTACTTTCATTGTGTCAAAGTGAATTGTTGGTGTTATCCCATGACAAAATATACTTTAATAGCTGGAAATGTGAAGGGTGTACTTACTTTTGTGTACATTAATAGCTATAGGTTACTTGTACATAGATAATAAGTGTCCTAACAACACTTCTGCATTGTTATGTAATGTCAAGCATTATTTCTATTTGTGAAGATGACAATTACCTGTGAGGCAAGAGATAGAGTTCGTTAGGAATCCCCCCAGGACATGATGCAAGTCTGCTTGGCCGGATCCTGTGGTTATTCCAGAGACCTTTGCATTCATCCAGGTCTTTCTGCAGAACTCTGGTGAAGCAGAATCTGAGCAAGCACTGGTGCTCATGGCTTCCGTTGAAGTTTCCAGAGTCTCTTAAATCTCCGAAAAGTCCATCCAAAACTGAGACCTGAGGATAAATTGAATTAGAAACGGTTCTGTTCTTTTTCATATTAAAATGATAAAAACAAATTGTCCTTCTCCATGTCCATAACATTGAAAGCATGCTATAAATGTATGTCACACTGAATATCGCGCCCTACTTTTCCACGTGCAAACTAAAACTTTGTATAACATCTGATACCAAACAATGAAAAATTATAACTTGGACAAAAAAATTGCAAAAGCCTTATGAAAATAAATGTTTGAAACAAATTCACTTATTACCTGGCAACACGATAGCCATGTGACTGTCAACTCCATAGGCACTTCCTATGAAGTTGTCATGACAACAATAAACAAATCACAAGCTTAAACCTGCCTAACTAGAAAAATTTGCTTCACTGACATCTGACTTACGTGTATGTTGCTATAATCACCAGAACCTTGTTTTTCACACAAAGAATTTGGACGTACTTTATAAATCCGTTTAAACTCAGACTTTATGCTTACATGGACTTTACACTGTGATCAGCTTTCGCTGTACTTCACATCTGAAAAACACAGATGTACCCACCTTCCTCTCCTGAAAGAAGACCACCATGACTCGATGCGTTGATTCCCTGTGGATGATCCGTAACTGTGGCTTGATGATCCAGCATAATAATCCGTATGCGCATGCCGGAGGGTACATTGTACTGCTGCCATAGTCCCGTTCTCTGTGCCTAGGTCTGTTCGCAGTCTCATTGGTATTACGCCAAGACTCTTGACACAGTTTATGTAATGCTGGGCAATGACAGAGGGATTGTTGTTTGTTGCCCCACAAACAAGCCACATCATTCTTCTAGAAAACCCATCAATGCATCCTGAGATGGCCAAGCCGAATGGCTTCAGTTTGTCGTAGCCATCTACATGCCATATGTAATTGGGCCCCATAGAGTGGTACGTGCGTCTGGTAAACTTCCTGCGAGTCCTCAGAGCGATGCCCTGAGGATTCAGCTGCCTCAGCAGTCTCATTACAACATCACGTTTGACACGCAGGTTGTGTTTTTGTTTGAGAACCTGCCACATGGTCCGATAGCCAAATAATTGGCCTGGTCCTCTAAGCTCGGTCATAATGGCACGTCTCACGTCAGAAAGTGGAGAGTAGTTGCCTCGTCTATGCAGCCCTGCTACTTTCAAATGAGCCTTTAAAGAACGCAGGCTAACCGACACTTCGTGGTTGGTCTGGAGCATGTCCAGTATCACCTCGTATGTATATCCTGACTCAAAATATTCCCGAATAACGGTACTGAGGTTTGGATCACTGAGAACATTCATGTTTTTAGCAATCAAGTTAAGCCAGAATAACTTCCGGTTCAAAAGAGAAACGACCTGTCGTCCAATCAGCGACTTCTTAGGTCTCCCACTGGGACATACCTCTTCCGTTGTGTTTTCGTTAATGTTGTAGTGCTTTCGTTAATGTTGTTGTGTTTTTGTTAATGTTGTTGTGTTTTTGTTAATGTTGTTGTGTTTTTGTTAATGTTGTTGTGTTTTCGTTAATGTTGTTGTGTTTTGTTAATGTTGTTGTGTTTTCGTTAATGTTGTTGTGTTTTCGTTAATGTTGTTGTTTTCGTTAATGTTGTGTTTTCGTTAATGTTGTTGTGTTTTCGTAATGTTGTTGTGTTTTGTTAATGTTGTTGTGTTTTTGTTAATGTGTTGTGTTTTGTTAATGTTGTTGTGTTTTCGTTAATGTTGTTGTGTTTTCGTTAATGTTGTTGTGTTTTCGTTAATGTTGTTGTGTTTTTCGTTAATGTGTTGTGTTTTTGTTAATGTTGTTGTGTTTTTGTTAATGTTGTTGTGTTTTTGTTAATGTTGTTGTGTTTTTCGTTAAGTGTGTGTTTTCGTTAATGTTGTTGTGTTTTGCACCTCAGGGCCACCGTACATAACCCAGTAGGACTGGACTGCATTTCATATCAGCTGCTGTCAATAATTATTGATTAGTTTTTTTGTTTAAGTTTCTGAAATGCTGCCAAACTGTATTTGCTCTTCTTTGTTGTTTATTTTCATGCAGTTGTTAGTAGATCCAGCTGCTGCTGCGCCAGTTACTCAGCAGGTCGTTGCCGGGTAACCCAAGAGTGAGTGAGTTGCTAGGTTACTGAAGAGTGAGTGAGTTGCTAGGTTACCGAAGAGTGAGTGAGTTGCTAGGTTACCGAAGAGTGAGTGAGTTGCTAGTTACCGAAGAGTGAGTGAGTTGCTAGGTTACCGAAGAGTGAGTGAGTTGCTAGGTTACTGAAGAGTGAGTGAGTTGCTAGGTTACTGAAGAGTGAGTGAGTTGCTAGGTTACTGAAGAGTGAGTGAGTTGCTAGGTTACCGAAGAGTGAGTGAGTTGCTAGGTTACTGAAGAGTGAGTGAGTTGCTAGGTTACTGAAGAGTGAGTGAGTTGCTAGGTTACTGAAGAGTGAGTGAGTTGCTAGGTTACTGAAGAGTGAGTGAGTTGCTAGGTTACTGAAGAGTGAGTGAGTCGGTTGATTCCACCAGCGATGCTAAGCTAGCAGTAAGAGGTGGAGTCTAAAGCGTTTCCTCTGCCTACATTTCCCAGAATGCTGTGCGGTTCTGGCTCGGAGTTCAGTGAATATCCTATCAGACATATTATTTATTGATATTGATCATGTCTATCACAAACATACGGTATATTGCTATTGATTATTGTCCAGTGCTGTGATATAGTGATAAAACGTCCAGTATTTAATATTTTCGTCATATTGATCAGCCGTAGGAGACACTGACCTTGCTCTAGAACGGCATGGGCCCCTTGTGGGAAAGACGGGGCCGTGGGCGTCTTCTCTTGGCTGGTCTGTGGGTCTGACCGCCTCTCACTGGGTTCTGCTGGGCCATTTTTCTCACTGTAGCTGCCTCTTCCAGCCCTCTGCCATGCTCCGTGGAGGCCATGGGACCTGGAGGACACACACACCAACGAATCAATTAGATAACCAAAAAAGGTAGAGTTACCCAACTTTTTGACAGCGAGGGTATTACAATGGGATCATGAGCCATTGGTGCTTGAAGCAAGACCCTAAAAGGGATCAGACTGGTAATGGATGAGGAAACAAGAGACAAGAATGAATGGGTGTGTGTCGGAGTGTGTGTGGGCCCCTTGGAGCCCACCCATCTGCACTGCAGGCGCATCAGGTCAGTGCAGCAGATACCAAGGCGAGAAACCTAAACCCCTCATGTTTCATGTCACCGTCACTCTGCCTGCAGTTTACAAAATCCTCCACACACCAAACGCCGCGAAGGAGCTTCCCATGCTCCGGGATGAGCTTAATCGCGCTGAAACAGTGTGGATTTCCCTCGTTTACACGTTTTCAGAGTGAACCCAGATGTTCTCGGTCGTCTCTCAGTAAGTGAGGCCTGATCTCCTTAAGCTCCTTCTTTTCCCCTGGGTTTGGTCCACCCAACATGCCGCCAAACCTCCTGCAAACCGACACACTCCCTTCTGTTTCTTCAGCTTATTTTCTGGCATATACGTCTGATCTTTTATGCTACGTCCATTTTATAAGTTGAGTGAAATTTGAGCCAACGCAGCGGAGGAGTTCATTTCATTTTCACTTCATTTCTTTAACTCTCACCTTTAGAAAAACATTAAATATAACATGCAAAGTGATTAATATGTGTCTTTAGTACATTGTTTTCACGTTTTGTCTCCTAAAGTTGAGATTTTATGTGATGACCTCACACAAAGGAGTGGGTGATTGTGGAATTAACATGTTTCAAAAATGTAAACGCTTTAAAATCTGGAAGGTGTGGCAGGCATTTCTATTAATCTTTCTCAATTTCAGCTTTTGGAGTTTTTCTTCCAGCTTTCGATATTCTTCTTCATGAAACTAGCTAAAGTTCAGTCAGGTTGAAATGAGATCATTTATAAGCAAAAACATATCACCCATCATAAGCATGAAGGACTCTGTGAATGTTTATGACTGTTTTCATAAAGTGTCATTTGGTAAATAATGACCCTCTTAATGCAAAGCTGTCCATTAAATGCAACTTTGCATTAAAATGTTATTATGTACCAAATTAAACTTCATGACAACAGCCATAAACATTCATAAAGACTCTTTCATGTTTATAAAAGTGTCATGTCTTCAAACACAGTGTCACCATCAACTGGATTTAGGTCTAGACTTTGACTGGACCATTCAGGATCACTGACACCTGAACTAGAGAAGGAAACTTTTTATTAATATTTACTAATATTTTTTTTTAAACAACCTTCCCTCAGTGCCTTTACTTCCTGCATCTCCAGTCACAAAGCTGATTGACATTATTCACATGAGGTCATGACATTCCTCCCCTCGGAGCGCCGGGCGCCATTTTTAGAATTCCCCAGGGAACCACCGTCTTTGGCTCTGCAGCGGCCTGAGTGAAGACAAGGCTTAAGATAAGTCTGCCGGCCGACTGCAGAGACTCTAAAAGTTAAAAAAGTTTACTGAGCGAAGCAACTGAGGAGCTTAGAAAAGCCAAAATGATGCTAGGTTTGCACTTTCCTTAAGACTTTTCTCATGACTTGGTCTGAGTTGAGGCAGTTTTGATAATAGATGCTCTTAAAAGAACAATTCATATATTTATTTAACTCATTCATTTGAACAAAAAAAATCTTTCTTTAAGAGCTGAATTTTAAAAAATGTCATCTAGCTGTGGCTTCATAAAGATTTTTATTCAACACTTCAAGTCTCAGTGCTTAAATAATAATGATTAAGTCAGACAGCCTGCTGAATATTTTCAGCTTATATCCCTGAAATGCCAGACATCTTAAGTTGCATTTCCACACTAATCTTCTTCCGTAACCATATTACTCAGCCATAGCTGTGGGCTAACAGTGGGCGAATTCATTTGCAGCATATTTCCACATCTAAAGCGTATCTTTGACCCTTGGAGCACTAATCTGTGCATTATCCTCTTGTTATTGTTCCACATGTGCAGTGAAACAGGGACGTTCACACATCCTGGAGGAATTCAGCGCCTTTCTTTCAGATCCTGGAGCCTGAATGGCAGAAGAGGAAGAAGCTGGGAGTATCATTGGGGGTTGTGTTTCAACTGATGGGCCCATAAAAACGCCCTCTTCATTCAGATGCAGAGCACACGGAGACACAAGAATGAAGAAAACAAACTGGTTTATTTAGAAATCTGACCTGAGCTGATGCAAGGAATCACGTGTAAAGATGAAACTTTGAACATTTAAGGATTTAAAACTTAAAGTATGCAAAGATTGAAATTGGTCCAAGTGTTGAATTAGTCAAAAGTAATATTAATATTTGGTTAAACAACCCTTATTAGATGCAGAGAAACTGCATTTTGGACAGGTTTCTGGTAAGATTCTTGCTGAATATTTGACCTCTGAACTCTAAAAGTTCAATTTTAAATAGTTCATGTAATTTCTTACAGCTGAGGTTATCATTCTCAAAAGTTAATGTTAGCCTGTTTTATCCATTCAAAGCCCAGTTTTACATCATTTTCCAGCTATAACAAAACTCTGTTCATGATAGTTGAACATTTTGGTCGTAGCTTTCGTTCTTCCAGTGGCAGCAAAACAAACCCCCAGCATGAAGCTGCCCCCACCGTGCTTGGTAGCTGGTAAAGTGTTGGTTGGTGAAAAAGCTTTTCATTAACATTGTGACCAAATCAATACATATTTATCTTATCTGACCAAAAAACTGCAGCATCTGTTACTTTATGTTAGAACTAAAGAAATAGTTAGTGAGATAGACAGCCCTCTTGATACTAACCCTAACTCAGGTTTTTAAGAAAATAACTACTTATCAATTAACTAGTTGATTGATAAGCTCAATCAGCTTTAGATTAACTCATTAACTGATAGCGGTTACTGCCAACCCATTTAATTTCCTTGTGAAAAGCATTAAAATGGAAAACTTTGGACGTAACAAGTTTCAGACGGGTTTACAGACATCACTGAACCATTCAGGAAAGCAATTTGTTTGAAAACACACCCGATACTCTGCTGCCATTACCGGTGTTTAGGTTACCCTCCACTTTAAAGACACCAACACATTCACACCGCAGTGCGAGTTTGTAGAAGTAATTTCGCCGCGGCTCACACAAACTGGCCTGTTTTTCCTCTCCGGGTGGATCAGCCTGTCGCAGTCCGGCTCCATAATGAGACAATTTAAATGTCTCCTGTCATTGCAAGCTGTCAGCCGAAGCTCCTCACCGGGGATTCAGGGGGAGCATCCCGATCCTCCTGACAAATCTCAGCCTGTCCTGTCCGACTACGGAGGGAAAAGTGTAATGAAAGGCTCTAAAAATAAGCCAGCCTCGGCGATATCACCAGCGGTATAGATTCACTCTCAGTGGGGAGAGGATGTCAGAGTTGTTGACGGGTTGCTTTTTATCTCGACTCTTTTATAGTGGAGGAGATACAGATCAAACGTGGAGGCATGAATGGAAATGTTTTAGAAACCTGTAAGTTACAGTAAGGATCCATATTCTCTTGAAATGTATACATGGATACTGTTTTTGTGACGCCAGCCAAGCTAATTGCTGATGTAGACGATTTAAAATGTTGAAAAACAATTTAAATTATTAGTAAAGCCTTGCTCTGTCACACAGCACCATATTTTATTTTTGGTATTGATCTTCTGATACTAAGTAAATACAGGGACATTATCACCAATACTGATTGATAAGTGATCAAACTTATCAATCAGTGAACGTTAAATGACTTTCCTCAGAATTTACTTTGTTTTCCTCATAATTCTTTTGCCTCATAATTCTCTGTTTTGTTTCAGAATTGACTTTTTTTTCTTAAATTTGACCTTTTTAGATTTTTTTTAATGCTATAGAATTTGGACTTTATTTAAGAATTTTGGACTTTTTTCAGAATTTAGTTTTTTTCTCAGAATATCAACTATTTTTTTTTTTTTTTTTTACAGAATTCTGGATTTATTTCATAATTCAAACTTTTTGTCTGACTTTTCAACAGAATTTTGACTTTTCCTCAGAATGTTGATTTTTTTCTTTTTTTGGTCAAAATTCTGACTTTTTTGTCAGAATGTTGAGAAAAAAAGTAAAGCATTCTTTTGGTGCCTCTAATCCTCTTCTGTAAACATCTGTCTTTAGGGCGTTTTTGTACTTATTCCTTTGATTTATTTTGACCAATACAGACTTTGGACAAACTGTAAGTATCAACAAAGTACTTTTTATAACAAATAGTGACAATAGTGAGCCAAAGCAAATTAGTTAACGCTTTTCCAAAATAAAGTATAAAAAATGATCACTTACAGCAAATTTTAAAAAATCTGTTTTGAGTTGAGAAACTACAATAGAAAAACAAAGTAAAATCTAATTTTGCTGAAGGAAAAATCTCATTTATTTCTGTCTAAAGCCTCGATAAACACAATCTGAAATAAGATCCAGTCTCTGTCCTATCGTGTCTGATCTTTCCCCATGAGAGATCTCCATGTTTGTGTTGCTTTGGTCAAACAGCAAAGCGGCTGCTGGATAACACGTGTCCCACCACAGTCAGCATCTCTCCACCATCTCTGGTGACCTTCAAGCCCCCACTTGCCCCCTTCCCATCAAAACTCAGCACATCTTCCCTTGCTTGGTGATTCTCTCATTAAAGTTTAATAACAGGGGAATTTCAGGAATGCTTTGTTATCGCTGCCACTGCTACTAGCGTTACCTCTGCTGCTTTGAAAATAAGAAGAGTCGGCGTGTGCGTGTGTGGAGAGGTAAAACCGATTACTTGATAATGTCAGAAACTGGCTGTTCCCGGTGCTAATGATGAATGGCCGCTTCCCGTTTCCTCGTCCTAGTTTTGCAACTCCTGAGGTGAATCTGTTGTGATGTCTTCTTTAAATGGCCGTCTCTCTGTCTTCTTGTGGCCTTGTAAAAATAGGAATGCGGGCTCCATCACTGGAGCCTAGAGAGACATTCA